GTACTTTATCCTAGAAGATAGAACTCTTCATTAGAAATCTAAGTTTACGGACTGTTTCGTACTGTCAGCAACAGCAGCCTTCCACAACTCCGGCCTAGTGGCCTAGTGCGGTCTCGGGCCACATTCGGCGCTGTTTTCCAAGAGATCTTCGTCTCTTGGTTGACAAAAGAGAATCTGGAATGATGTTCTTGCGCGAGGTTCTGGAAGAACATGGATTTTTCGCTATCTCCTCGTACACGGTAGGATGCTACCTCAAAGTAGGCCGTGATCGCTTGATTCAACATCTTTTCCAATTAATTATTCACTGATTGTCCTACCATTCGATGCTGCAGAATCTGATTTACTAAACATATCATAAAACATAATAAAGAAGACAAATAGGGTTAAGTAGTAATAACAAATTTGTTCTAGAAATGTTATTTTATTTGTGTGAGTATCTGTGGACAGCAGATTTCTTCTTGGGAAGTTAACAGTCGCTCAACTAGTCAAGAAATTTTCCGCATTGTACGAACCTAAATGCCGATCACAGTGGCCTCGCGGTCTAAGATATGAACCGTCTTCGCCCGCTTGGACACTGGGATTGTGAGCTCTTATCCTACTCGAGGCATGGATGTCTGTGTGCATTTATTCTGTGTTTGTGTTGTCCTGTGTAAGTAGCGGCCTTGCGATGGGCTGATCCCCCGTCCAAGGAGTCCTGCTGACTGTGTATAGGATTAAGAGACTGAAGAAGCGGCCAAGGTCCTCACATCCTGTAGAGCCGTAGACAGACAGACAGACAGACAGATAGATAGATAGATAGATAGATAGATAGATAGATAGATAGATAGATAGATGAAACCAGAATACTGATTATCGTATTATAAAGGCCCGCAATTAATTCTCATTCTGAGCCATATGAAAGAAAATGTCTATTTTAAGACACCAAAATGCTTTAGGCGTAATTTTAATATTATCCTGTTATCTACTTTATGCGGTAAAAATTCTGAACTGTGGTACACCTAGTGATTATCTATTGAATTATGCAGGGCCTCTGACCGCTTCTGTGGTCTAGTGGTCAGAGTTCCTGTCTCCAGATCCAGATGTCCGGTTTCGATTCCCGGCGCTACCAGATTTTCTGAGAAGTAGTGGGTCTAGAACGGGGTCCACTGAGCCTCGCGAGAATAATTAAGGAACTATTGCAAGGAAATAGCGGCTCCGGTCTAGAGAACCGAAATTAACGGCCCTGAGGTTTCGTTGCGCTGACCGCGCGACACCCTCTATCGGCTAAAGTTGGCACTAACTTCGCCGACAAGTGGAGGTCTCTTGGTCAGTAAAGTTCGCTTGCGGATTAAAACCGCTGAGTTTGTTGTTTTTGTTTTTGTCTCTGTTAAATGCCAAATAAAATAATAAAACAAATCTGTGATTATGACAAGCATCAAGCCATGCAGATATATTTGTTGGTGGGCCTCGTGTTCAATATGATCCCAGTTCGCCGTACGGAAATAAGTTGGCGGATTTGCTTGATCATTCCGCAAAACATGGCGGCAGCTTTGATGTCAAACTGAGAGAATTACTCGTATAAGTTCTGAAGGTTGAACGCAATAACAATAGTTTTCATTATATTCCTTCATTTCCTAGAAGATTTATGTGATGTTGTGTAGTAGAAAAATTAATTTCTTAAGCGAAACATACTAAATAAATAGTTCAAAGGAATTACATCGTAAAAATAACATGACATGGTCAACAGGAATCTCACGTCATTGCGAAAGAATGTCATGAGAACTGTTTCCTAATTGGCTGAGAGAGAGTCTCCAGATTTTATAATGTTACGAAAAGGCCACGTCCACATCATATATATATGACTCTACAACCCTTTTGACTTTGGCCGCTTTATCAGTTTCTTAATCCTATACTCAATCGGTAGGTCTCCTTGGACGGGGGATCAGCCAGTAGCATGGCCGCTACCTACACACAGAACGACACAAACACAGAATAAACGCATACAGACATCCTGCGTTGAATGAGATTCGAAGCCACGACCCCAGGTTTAAGCGAGCGGAATACTCTTCGTGCCTTAGACCGTGCGGCAATCACGATCGGCCCACATGTATGATAATTCATTATTGTTATATCTCTGCTCCTAAAATTACGAATTCATCAAATGTAAATACAGTACAATCTCGGCATTCCGTCCGTGCGCTAGTCCGACACGTCTAGTAATCCGGCATCAGGAGCCAGACAGGCGTCCGTGGCCTTTGGCAAATTTCTACAGGCAGCAGAGGCTGACTTGTGTTCAGCCGAGCTTGACAAACTGATTTGTTTAGACCCTCGCTAGTACACAGTGTTTCAGTTCTTCAGTAAGGTACATCCTCGGCCGCGCCATAGCTCAAGCGGTTGGTCCCTGGCTTCCCACCGCGGCGGCCCGGGTCTGGTCAAGTGGGATTTGTGGTGTACAAAGTGGCGCTGGGGCAGGTTTTCTCCGAGTCTTCGGTTTCCCCTGCCAATCTTCATTCCACCAATTGCTCCACAATCACCCTCACCTATCATATGGGGCTGGTACAATAGGCCAGAAGTGGCCGCAGTACAAGGGACTTGTTCCCACCCCACTAGCAATAAAAAAAATGTACATCTTGTAAAGTACTTTTCATGCAATGGTGGATATAATGTGTGCTGAAGATGTCCAGTTCTCACAAACGAAAGCATAAAATTTTAAGTAAGATTTAAAGTGAAACCGGAGAATCCTAGTGCGTGTGCAACGGTGAACTGCAAAGTGTGGAAATCAGCGGCAGCGCTATATTTTTTGTAATTAAGGGAGACTGTAACAGAAGGACCACTAAATCCAATCATCAGATCAGTACCCGTTATTTTCGTCACGCGTGCCGCCCTACACATAACAACAAGGAGATGCATTGTGGGCGTTTCAAAACAAGCGCCGATGGAGACACAGAATGAGATGAAGAGAGACTGGAGGAAAGCGATTAGGCCTACTGACAAGTTTCGTCATTTTGTGGTCTTCTGGCTTATGACGCCGTGTATCCAAGTTTCGGAGGAAATAGTGCCACAATCTTTAATTCCACCATGAAGTTTGAGGCATTATTTTCCTCCGAAAACTTGTAAACCACCTATCAGACTACGCGACATCGCAACCTATATAGCACACATAGCCTACTGCATAATTAATATTTACGCAAGTCATAAAACCAATATGCTCAGACAGAAATGCACACCCAAATAGCTATAGAGCTTCTTGTTCTGGCTTTAGAACAGCACAACACCAACCGCTGCTGGCGGAATTAAACCCACTCATAGATTCTTCTCTGCGGTTTGCAGACGAGATGAGTAGGTATATAGAGCGCTGCAGTAAAGCGGAAACGTTTTAGTTCCTTTGTGTATGTCTGTATGTTGTCATCAAGAATAACACAGGAGAGAATGTTGCATTAGCCGGCCATGAGCTTCGTTCCAAGGACCTCTTGAAACTACAACTGTCTATTGGCGTACCTTAACGAAGAGCAATAAACACATTTATAAATGGTTGTTACGTAGCTGCATTGCTAACGTTCAGCTGGATGCAATATGAGAGTTGCTAACGTCAGTAGAAGCACGCAGTAGCGTAGTAGCTTGAGGCACTATGCTAGAAGCCAGAAGGTAGGAGGTTCGAATCTTGATGAGGTGGATTTTTTCAATTTACCTAATCCTTCCAGCCACACTATGGCCCTTTGGTCGACTCAGCTTCTAACACAAATTAGTACCAGGAATATTCTTGGGGGTAAAGGGCGGCCGGCATGTAAGGCTGGCAAACTCACCGCCGTCTCTGAGCCGATTGTCTGGACAAACTGTGGGAGCCTTGACGTCTCACAACCCTATGGACCTTCATGGCCTGTTACAGGGATGGATTTACCTTAGTAACATCAGTAAGACGTGAGAATCGAAATGTATGTATCTCTTATATATGGAAGGTTCGCCTTCAGTTGACACAATGAAAGGGATAATGTAATTTGCATACCTTATAAAACTACAGTTACGACAGAAAGCTATATTATATCTTAATCACATTACTCGTCATTATGCTAGACATCCAGTCTGCACTCAACTGCTGAGTTAGCTTCATGTTTCGTTTCGGGGCACTGCCTTTCCTGGGATTCATTACCCAGCAAATCGTAGCTGAGGCACAATGGTGTCGCCCCGACTGCAAAAAGTTCTTGTACTTACACAACGCCCAAACCGCCTTCAAGACAGCACTGGATGGCATCTAGTTTGATACCAAACCCATCTAATATACAAAAGATACGGGTCTTACGATAAAACCACCGGTCTGTCAAGGAGCGTAAACGTCTAAAAGGGTTCATAGTTCAGAAAGTTAATTCTGGGTCGGAGAGGACAGAGGGTTTAATCCATGGCATCTGAAGAATAATAAGGATGGTCATGACGATAATTATTTCGAAAAGCAGACCTATATAAAAATGCTTCAGTGAGGCACTTGGTATGCTTATATGCTGTATTTTAGGTGCTGCATTGGAGCATTCTTCAATCCTCACATATTGTCACATAAGAATCTTCCTGTATACATTCCATTCACGGTTCTACTAAGCACTGTTAATTAATTGTTAAAGAATCACCCAACAGAATGTATTTACAGTTTATTGTGAGATTTAAACATTCTTATTTTTCGTTGTTTATCTGATTTTGCATCGGCTTACCGATAAATCTATTGCGATTATTCAATTTGTAACTTAATTTGGATGTTTCCCTTCCCTACATGATCGAGATAGGCCGGAATTCTCAAACGATTGAGGTGGAAATGAAAGGCTGAAATCCCTTCTGCCCCCTGCTGGTTCCTACGAAGCTCTGTTTCTAGGTATAATAGCTTGTGGGCGGAACCTACACCTCGCTCATTCGTGCATACTTCAGGCCAGCTGTTGATATCACGGGCAGTTCTCAGTAGAGCACGACATTTCTTTAGAACCCATTGAATTTCATCAAGCACAAACGACGAATCGGGAACTGGAAGACCATGTTGCAGGCAGTTGTTGTTTCCTTTAAAAAAGAGACAGCCTAAGGCCAAGTGTAAACGGCTAACAAGTGTAGTTATATATAAGCCAGCTCGTTGACTGATCCAACATTATTCCTCTGGCCACAGTTCAAGACCTGTTGATTACTCGTGCAAGAAATTTAGGGAAACAATAGGCAAAATGACTTTGAAACACGGAGCAGTCCTGTGTTTCGCTGTGTCACTCGTCTGCATTGTCGTCGATGCGAGGCCGCCAGAAGAAGGTGTCAAAAGTAAGTGAGTGCTACTGTCACAGGAGTGGAAACCAGTACTCCAATCAAGTTCTATTTTGAAAACACGTTCTTAGAAATATTGCTTACCTCATTAGCTTTAATGTTCGTTTATTGCACGTACAAATAAATTTGGAAAGGCAATTACATTACAGATGCATGAAGTCGTAAATTATTTATAATTATTTTAGTTAAATATACATTACACGGAGAAATAATTCCCATAAAATGTATACATCTTAACGACATGTGTATTTTATATCATGTTGAAATTCAAGCACGTTATTTTTTTCGTGAGAAAATTAATAGAATTCGGCTCGATTTTTATATGAAGTGTAATACTAGATCAAATACGAATTAAAATTAAATTCGCCTGAAAATTCTCTGTTTAGATCCATATATCGAAGTGCAGTTTTGTATTTTCGAAGATAATAAGCAGGGAAGTGCAGCCCCACTCTCGCCATTATGCTTCATTTGATTTTGTTTGCACAAATAATCCAGATACAATAAAACAATCTTTCATTCACTGAATAACTCTTATATGTATCTTGCACTCGGACTGAATAGGGAACACCTTGTCGAAGGGTTAATTTCACCAGCAGCAATAGTAACGCTACTTCAAACAATTCGTTGCTTGGATATTGCTAGCTGTTGTATAGCAATGGATGCGTTCTGATTGTTAGTCGTTGCCGCGGTAACGTTGGTCGTTGCCTACGAAATGAACCCTGATCCCACTACCATTCCGCCTTTCTGGCGGCACGCCACAATATTTTTCTAGTTACCGAGCGGAAAGGTAGATTAATTTCATCTCGGCCACATTTGGAGTTTCTTTCAGATTTATAGACGCTTACACCGAGCCATAACCGGAAACCTTCTCCTCAGTTCGGATCCTGAGAACGCGCCATGGCCTTGTCACAAGGGACCTACTTAACATGGCCTTGACTTCCTCTAATGTAACCAGATTTTTAACAGCTGGACACAATGTGCAGGGTTCTCGCGTTATGGATGATGAGCTTATCTGTCTTTAACCCCAGAATTTTCGATAAAATAGCAACTGAAATGGTGTAACCCAGTACTATTTTGCATGGTCAACGAAAGAATCAAGAGTCAAGGACAGATACGAGACAAATACAAGTTCGTGTGTTTATGAAGCCAGAATATACTAAACAAAGTGCAATATGACTTCATAAAAATAAAACGTATATGAAGTCACAGTTTACTTTATGTTTCTTTGCAGGTGTGAAAGGTGTGAAGGGGTTGTCACATGCTCCGAGATTCATCGAAGGAGGTGAGTCCTTAACAGTCTGCAATTAACTAGTAGCAGGACCCTACAGAAAATTAACATTCACATGCTCGTACCCACTCAACATTATAAGAACTTATTTCGCGTTATATCGTTACCACTCAACTAATATTTTAATTTAGGCTTAATGTAATTGTTTACAATATTTGTAGCTTGATAATTGAATAGCACTATCTTCCGGGATGTGATACCGTGCAGTATGGTAGAAATGTACTTAGTTTTCGCAGATGAGTGTTGCCTCCATCTCAGGATAGAAGAGTAATTAAGGCAAGAATTTCAACCCTGAAAATGGATGCAGCAAGTTTCTCCGAAACATTGGGAAGCTTCCGCGATATCATACTCTACATAATAATCGCCATGAGAACCTCAGATCTAACTACTAAATACTTTAACTGTTCAGTCATGACTATAACTTTGCCTGTGGTTCTGTATGGGTGTGAAACTTGGTCTCTGACATTAAGGGAGGAACAGACTAACGGTATTTGAGAACAGGGTGTTGAGGAGAATATTTGGACCGAAGAGAGATGAAGTGACAGGAGGTTTGAGAAAACTGTATAATGAGGAGTTTCATAACTTGTACTCTTTGCCAAGTATAATTAGAATGATCAAGTCAAGGAGGAACAGATGGGCAGGGCATGTAGCACGAATGTGGACGAAGAGGAATGCATATAGGATGTTGGTGGGAAAGTCAAAAGGAAAGAGACCACTGGGCAGTCCAAGACGTAGGTGGGTAGACAATATTAAAATGGATCTTAGAGAGATAGGATGGGATGGTATGGATTGGATTGATCTGACTCAGGATAGGGACCAGTGGAGGGCTCTTCTGAACACGGTAATGAAGCTTCGAGTTCCGTAAAGTTTTGAGTAGCTGCACAATTGGCAGCTTCTCAAGAAGGGCTCAGTTCCATGAATGATTATGATGATGATGATGATCAGTCATGAGGGCTCATGACGAAAAAGAAATACGTAACTTTCTAAATAAAATTTTCAAATTGTGGTGTTCCGGGTAGAGCCATCGTATTGCGTTTTAGGCGGTTACAGATATATCGGAGGAAAATACTACCTACATTTTCAGAGTAACTCGTGCAGAGTTACGTGGGCCGATTTCGAGGAAGGTATCTACGCAGCTCCGCTGGAGGGTTATCTGCTTATGAGACTTGATACCGTCACAGTTAAAATGGCAGCAATCAAAAGAATTACCGCCGCGAAAACCTCAAAATTTGTTTTATACATATATCTGATAAACAGTTTGTGTAGAATTCAATAAAGGTACCAGATATTATCGAAATACAATTAGCAGTTTCGGAGTCGATATACATATATGGGCAAATGAATGGTCGGACATGACCTTATACCTTTATATCACACAAATAACTCATAATAAACACACATTTAAAAATTAAAAACATAAACTATAGCATTTCGACGTAGAATTTTTCAAATTTTATATAACTGTCATAATATCCATCAACTGCTCTGATAATTAGGACTTTTCTCTCACCAGAATACAAGTTCAGTCACAACTCTGACGCCAGCTCGTCCTTCGCCTCGTCCCAGTCTTCGTCCTATTCCTCTGCCAGCTCCAGTTCCGTCAAAAGGGGCTCGGGATCCTCCGGTCAGTCGGGAAGTTTCTCCAGCTCTGCTCTCCAGTCAGAATCTTCGGCTGAGGCTGGTGCTTCATCCCTCTCGTCCAGTGGATCGGGTTCCTTAAGTTTCGGAGGGCGTGATGGATCCTTGTCTCATTCTGGAAGTCAATTTGGTTTATCCACTGGCCAAGCCTATTTATCGTCAGTCACCGGAAGTCAGGCCGGATCATCTGCAACACTGGGTAAGCCCAATTTTCAACAATGGGTAACACATATCAGGATTGGGTTGATGCTTAATTAAGGCATTCAGATTTTTTTTCCCCTTGGCACTACAGCCCCAGTGGGCCTAGTCCTACCTCCATGAACTTCTCCGTTCACTTCGGTTTATATAGATCTTACACATTCGGTAGGACTCCTTGGGCGGGTGATCAGCTCGTCGCAAGGCCTCTACCTGCACACAAACACAGAAGAACGCACACACACAAACTAAACATCCATGCCCTGAGTGGGATTCGAACCCACGATCCCGGTTTCCAAGCGAGCGAAGACAGTACATGCCTTAGATCACTCGGCTACCGTGACCGGCATTCAGATTTGGTTACACATAAGAAGAACTTATTTTCTTAGTAAAAATTAATCTCACACTCAAGCAATTAAGATTAAATTAATTACTTGTATTAGATACCAATTGCTTCCTAAAGAATTCAAATGCTGAGAAAACACAAATATATTTGCCATTCTTCAGCTTATGGGGCATTATTTTATACCGTACAGACTGATTCTTATGTTATTTAACTACATCTTTCTGGTTGCGTAAATGTACTGAATTATGAATCGACAAGAATGCGGAAGGAAGTGGCTGTGGTCTATTTAAGGTACTATACGAATATTTGCCTGTAATGACCGAGAATCACGGAAAACCTTAGTCAGAATAACAGGTTTGCAGACCTAGGTTCGAAAACGCGAACTCTAGAACACGAACAAAGGGAACTAACCATGCTATCACAAAGTTACGTTGCATTGTTCTGCCTGGAGGGAACAACAGAATTCTTCTAGAGCCGATTTGCACAAAGATCTAAATGTTCATGGTCAGTGGGGTTCAAGTGCCTCAGAGTTGCCATAAGATGAAAAATAAATAACTAGGTAACCTATACAATTTGTGTTCTGCCCTGAAAGGCGTAGAATTCCGTATACACTTCCTGTTTCTCTCACAGAAACTCCATGAATAGTGGGCTGTAAATTCTTAAGGAGACGTTTAACGACACCCTCAGTACGTAGACTATAGCATGGCGTTATAGAACGATTGATGAATTGGAAGGAATTTGGAAGTAAGTGGTAGTGGCTTACTTGAGTTACCATTCCAGCCTTTGTTTAGAGGGACCGAGTAACTTATTTGATTCACGCTAGTAAAACACGGCAACCAGACCTTTATATACATAACCGTAATTCTGACTTAAGTATAGGACTCTAATTCTCACTGAACAAAACGTAAATTGAAATAATAAAGCATGTTCTATGTAGCATTCCTTGAAATCTATAGACGTGCTGAAGGCAGCTAAGTTTTCAAATTTTAATATTAAAGTGCATTCTAAGGCAAATGTCCTGTTCACAAAATTCCCTTTGACTAACACATACAGATATGCAAATATCAGCTCAAGGTTCAGTCACTCCCACGGAACCATAGAAAACAAAAAATGGCGAATCTTGATTTAGAGTGTCATTGAGCGCTTTATAGAGTTTCTTATCTTGTTCTTCTTGCAACAGGAACTGGAACTCTTGGAGTGACAAGTTCTGGTAACACTGGAGACGGCAGTGTCGGCGGTTCTCACCTAGCAGAAGGAAGTGCGGCTGCTAGCGGAACCGGAACCCATGGAGCCAGTGGACCGAGTGTAGCAAGTGGCATTGGCGGACATGGAACTCATGGAACCGGTGGAGTTACAGGACTTGACAGCGTAAGTGGGATTGGAGCTCACAGGAAAGGTGGAAGCACAGACCGTGGCGACGTAAGTGGAACTAAAGTTCACGGTGTCGATGAAACTACAGGGCATGGTGCCACTAGTGGAACAGGATATCACGGGATCCATGTTGATTCTGGATATAGTGACGCTGGTGTTAAAACAGGACTTGACGTAAGTGGAATTGGTGCCCCAACAGCCAGTGGAAATACTGGTGCTGTCAAGGGTGCAGGATCTGGAGCTCACGGACTTGGTTCCGGAAGTGGTACTGATATTCATGGAGTCGGCGCTAGTGGTTCTGTTAGTGTTGGTAGTGCTGGCTCCCATGGATCTGCAGGGAACTCAGAAGCCGGAAGCAGTGCTGGTGCTGTATCACACGGAGTTAAAAATGTCGGTGGAGCTAAAACTCACGGAGTCGGCGAAAGTACAGGATTTGACTTGAGCGGAACTGGGGCTCACGGATTTGGCAGTGATGCTGGAGCTGGCAATTTTGGTGTTGTAGCACATGGAGTTGGTGAAGGTACAGGACTTCATGCCGGAAGTGGCACTGGTCTTCATGGAGTAAGCGCTAGTGGTTCTGTTAGTGTTGGTAGTGCTGGCTCCCATGGATCTGCAGGGAACTCAGAAGCCGGAAGCAGTTCTGGTGGTGTATCACACGGAGCTGGTGGCTACGGAGTTAAAAATGTCGCTGGAGCTAAAACTCAAGGAGTCAGCGAAAGTACAGGAATTGGTTCCGGAAGTGGCACTGGTCTTCATGGAGTAAGCGGTAGTGGCTCTGTTAGTGTTGGTACTGCTGGCTCCCATGGAACCGTCGGGAACGCAGAAGCCGGGAGCAGTGCTGGTGCTGTATCACACGGAGCTGGTGGCTACGGAGTTAAAAATGTCGGTGGAGCTAAAACTCAAGGAGTCGGCGAAAGTACAGGACTTAGCCTGGGCGCAGCTGGAGTTCATGGATTTGGCGGTGATGCTGGAGTTGGTACTGTTGGTATTGTAGCACATGGACTTCGTGAAGGTACAGGACTTGGTTCCGGAAGTGGCACTGGACTTCATGGAGTAGGCGGTAGTGGCTCTGTTAGTGTTGGTACTGCTGGCTCCCGTGGAACCGTCGGGAACGCAGAAGCCGAGAGCATTGCTGATCTTGTATCACACGGAGTTAAAAATGTCGGTGGAGCTAAAACTCACGGAGTCGGCGAAAGTACAGGATTTGACTTGAGCGGAACTGGGGCTCACGGATTTGGCAGTGATGCTGGAGCTGGAAATTTTGGTATTGTAGCACATGGAGTTGGTGAAGGTACAGGACTTGGTTCCGGAAGTGGCACTGGTCTTCATGGAGTAAGCGGTAGTGGCTCTGTTAGTGTTGGTAATGCTGGCTCCCATGGAACCGTCGGGAACGCAGAAGCCGAGAGCATTGCTGATCTTGTATCACACGGAGTTAAAAATGTCGGTGGAGCTAAAACTCACGGAGTCGGCGAAAGTACAGGACTTCATGCCGGAAGTGGCACTGGTCTTCATGGAGTAAGCGGTAGTGGCTCTGTTAGTGTTGGTAATGCTGGCTCCCATGGAACCGTCGGGAACGCAGAAGCCGAGAGCATTGCTGATCTTATATCACACGGAGTTAAAAATGTTGGTGGGGCTAAAACTCACGGATTCGGCGAAAGTACAGGATTTGTTCTGAGCGGAACAGGGGCTCAAGTAGCTGGCAGCAGTGGTGAACATGGAGGTCACGGAATTACAGGAGTCGCCAGTGTAAGTGGAAACGGCGGTAGCTTGGGGTATGGCAGGGGGCTAGCCCAGAGTGGTAGTGGACATAAAGATATCACCACTGGAACTGGTGGCTCTGTATCAGGTGGAGCCCACGGAGGATTAAGTGAAGTTACTGTAGAATCTCACGTAAAGGATGCCGTAATTTCTGAAGTTTCCGCTGTGGACAGTGGAAATACTGGTATTCCATCCGGAAACTCTTATGAAATCCATGATGGAAGTACTTCAGGTTCTGGTCTCGATGGAACTACCGGAGGTGGATCAGGAAGCCCATATTCTGGAAGTTCTACATCCTCATCTCACAGCTCCTCAGGATCTGCTAGTGGAACAGAAGATTTCGGTACTGAGGGAGTGAAGGGTTGGAGAAGGCGTCCTGCTGGGGTGAAGGGTGGGAGGTCGAACTTTGGCTGAAGATTCAAGATGATTTTTCCACGGCCTGTCCATCTTCTTAACACTAAGATCGTTATTTCATTTATCATTCGCTCTGGCTCTTAATAGGATATGCCATATGTATTTAGATGTGTGGAAAGCCGTGTAAATGACTAATTTTGTTACATTACTTTCAGTGCATTTATAAATAAAATACACATTTAAAACTCCTCCTTGTCTGTATGGTAAGTTTTGACATTGAACCAGGACAGATTAGAGAGCGGAATTACTACTCAAATTTTGAGCTACCAGGTTTTGATTGAGATGAATTTTGTCTCTTCGCCGCCATTTGGAACAAGCGGCTGGCTCCTTGGGGATAAAGGGTACGGTGATTTAAATTCCCCATAAATCGCCATCCCATCTAATACTGAGTTTAAATATGCACGGAGATTTACCAATGTGTCCCACGGACACCTTCAAGAATTGGCTCTTCGGTCCAGGAAAATCTTTTCTTCTAAGATTGTGTGACTGTGGGCGCTTCGTCCATTCAAGACAAAACAATCTGCCAGTCTGGAACATTCATATTCAAGTCTTGTACTAATAAATGTATTTCATCAGTTCCTCCACAAATTATTTTATATATAAAGGTAAAGTTAAGTAAGTAAGCACACGCCATTAAGGCGTATTGGGGAGTGGATGTATAGATCTATATTTCCTTGACCTCGACACTAGTTTGAGGTGAGTGGTCATCTTCACGCCTAGACCGCTTTGCCCTCGGTAGTGATTGGACAGGAGGCTGGGTTGGCCCCAGAACCGGTCTGGATGACTTGGAAATTCTTGACCTTACCGGAACTCGAAGTCAGAACCCTCGGTCGTCCAGCCAGTAGCCAATCACTATCCCGGCTCCTTAGTTTTGGTATATATAAATGTATAAATATGTTTGTGGGTTGTTTCACCTCTCTTTCGGTAGCTTCGAATGACAGAGCGATTGAACTGGAAGAGACTTTAGAAGCAAGCGCTTGTGATTTAATCAAGGAACTATCCAGGCATTTGTCTGGAAACACTGAGGAAGTCCATGAAATTATCAGTCAACATAAAGAGTGTCCTGGCGAAGATTCGAGTCGAGTAACTCTAAAAGAGTGTTGAGTGTTACCACTGTACCATCTCGCTCTCTGACACGCAGTACACACACAGAACAGAGGAATTCTTCGCCAATTATTTTAAATATTTAACTAATCCGGAATGAGGGAGACGAGGAATGCATATAGGATATTGGTGGGAAAGTCAGAAGGAAAGAGACCACTGGGAAGACCAAGGCGTAGGTAGGTGGACAATATTAAAATGGATTTTAGGGAGATAGTTTGGGTTGGTGTGGATTTGACATTAATATGTATATGCAATTTAATACAATTATTATTTTAATATACTATAGTAAGTTCAACTGTGAAATTAATTTCCTACTCATACTGATGTTTCACAATCATTAGATTGCCTAAAAATTTAATATAAAGCTATCATTATAGATGGATCGAAAATTATAAAGGTAAATACAGGCCGTGTTGTGACATATGGGCTCACTGCTAGAGAACACGTTGACAAACGCGTTTCCATGGAGGCGGATTCGTGGTGACCATAAACGAACTCCGCTGTCTGTAGTCCGCAAGTGAACTATACCGACCGAGCGACCGCCGCTTGTCGGCCAAATTTGCGGATAGAAGTGTCACGTGGTCAGCGCAGCGGATCCCCACGGCCGTTAATCTCCGTTTTCTGACCATTCCTCGAGACCAGCTCGCTATAAAATACATTTCCGAATAAACGAACATTCAACAAATATTTCCCAAGATACCGAGATGCTACAAAGCAGTCATTCAAATAAGAACCAAGTCATTCATAAAACAGAAGTCAATCAGTCGCAAATCAGAAGTGAGTCATCGTCCAACTAGAATACAACAAGTCGTAGGCAGTCATTTATCTTGAGCTATTGTAACTGATTGTGATTATGAGAGATTGTAAAAGAAGGTGTTAATAAATCCAATCATCCAAACCAAACCCCGTTATTGTTAATTACGGAGACATAAACACGTGACAATATGTTTCAACTGACTGTAATTATTGTTGTGTTCATTGTCCACCTGATACTCTCTCAGTGGCACCTAAACGTGAGAGGGAATAAACTACAAACAAGTTACAAGTAAAAGTTGTCCCTGTGTTTAACTCATTAAGCACTACGCCGTGAGGACTTATGGGGAAGTGGATGTATAGATCCACATTTCCTTGACCTCGGCATTGGCTGGAGGTGAGTGGTCAGCTTCACACCACGACCTCTTTACCCCGTGGAGAGAGCCCCCGGTGCCCATTGGATAGGAGGTTGGGTGGGCCCCAGAGACAGTCTGGACGAAGAGAAAATTCTTGACCCTACCAGAACTCGAACCCCTACCCCTCAGTCGTCCAGCCCGTAGCCAGTCGCTATACCAATTACTCTACCCCGGCTCCAACAATTCACAAGTAATGTTACCAATTGTTTTGCCGGGCCGTATGTACGAGTAATAATAGAGTTGTCCAAAAATTTGCAAACATCGTGATACTCTGTGATACTCTTTGTTGAAATACGTGGCAGCTCATCGAGAAATCTGTCAGAAAAAAAGTGGACTCGTTGCACGTACCAGTCACACAAACATGAGAAACGTGGTCCAATTCACATATGAGCAAGGAACGCCTATTAGGTTCTGCAAGAATTAATCTCCCTTACCTCATTTGATTGGAAACAACATTTTCCTGAATATTTATTATTCTATTCTTAAGTAATTTAACGACACTTTTTCGAACACACGTGTTACATGGCATCAAATGATAAGATTTGATCATAAATTTTAAACGTCGACGAAGAAATTGGACATGGTCCATTATATGTATTAACCTGGAATCTGCTTAAAGTGAACGAGGAAAACTACGCAGGATCTCAGCGAGTGTAGCCGGTCTCTGGATCGTCACTTGAATAGCCTGTTCCGGCTTATAATATTGTTACGTCTCCATCTGCCTTCTTCTCGATCCTCTGATGTCTCTTCTACCAGACAGATATTATTTAGAGGCTTCAAGTGAGATGAGAGGTAGTTCCTTCCTTACTTTGTAAATAATTTTTTTAAACATTTTTCTTAATATTATATAATTTTTTTCATTTAGAGCGAAGATGGCCAACTCATTTTTCATATCCTTACATTTAATTGATCTGCCCTATTGATTATTTAATATCAGTGTGGTGTATACTGAGCAATTTTGTATTTAACTTGTCTAGGTTTTGCCATTAAAATGAAGTGTATTTATTGTGGAACTGCTACTGTGACCGAAAAGCAACCAGAAATATTGGTATTGTTTCCTTTGTAAAGGTCGTTAAGTCATTGAAAGAAAAGTCTGTTGAGAAGGGGGGGGGGACGTGGGCAATTCAGATGATGACACGGAAAGATTAAGACGCAGTGACGCGACCTGAGGTAACAACATGGTTAACACGTGATAAATGTTCTTTGTTGTGGACGAAGGTTTTCATAGAATTGCCCTTCTATGAGCTTTCATTTAAGCACAATGTGAAATAGTTCCCCATCCCCTTCCAAGTTCCTATCCTCGTTTTTCTTTATACTATAATTCTCTTCATTTGTCTTCTATCTCTCTCTCTCTAGCATTTCCTGTCCCCTCAACTCGCTGACCTTCATCACAATTCCAAGTCTCTTTGTCCTGAAGCCTTGCATTTCACTTCTCATTTCAATCAAATATGCTTATCGCAGCATTGCCAAATCTACAATCAAGAAAATGAATTGTTGCTATAAAATATACGCCTTGAAATGGTCTTCAGAGTCAGTTTTCGGTTATATTGTTAACTGAACTTCCGGCCACATTCACGCATGCGCAGCAAAGACGAACTGTTTCATTGGTTCTTCAGAGTCAATATTTCTTTCTTATTTGCTTAAAAAAAGCTATCCGTGTTTGAACCATTGAGTGATTCAGTTAAAGAGAGAGCATATTACATTAGTGAATTTAATAAAGAAGGCCTATGCACCCGAAGGAAACAGAACAAGGAGAACACATTGTTGAATGCTGAGTCATGACAGGTCTGCTGTTCACAGGAATGACCACGTAAGCCTATTTCATTTTAATAAAGCAGCATTTATTCTTTAGTTATCTTGCAACCAAGATCCGGTATAGTGCAGTCGGTATATCGACTGGCTACTGACTGAGCGACCGATGGGTGAAGTTCGAGTCCTGGTAGGGTCAAGAATTTTCACTTTTCCATGTCCACACCTGCTGTGGGGTCCATTCAGCTTCCTATACAGTTGGTAAGCGGCCGGGACGTGAACTTGACCACTCACCTCAAACTAGTGCCGAGGTCAAAAACGTGGATCTATACATCCACTCCCCATACGCCTTCATGGCGTAGTGCTTGATTAATTAAATACAGAGACAACTTTATCTTGCAACCAGCGAATAATTTCACTCATTAGCCCTTCATACCGAATTGGAGTCTCAGTAATTTAAAAAATTATCAGAGAAACTTGTAAATGTATATGAAACGTTGTACAAGTTGAGTGCATGCCGAAATCTACAAATTCGATGTGGCATGAAAGAGCAACATGTTATTGGGGGTGGGAAATAGAACTTTCCTAACTGTACAGGAAGTTTCGATGGAAAACCTATTGAAATTTAGTACGCAGCAAAGAGTGGCTCAAAATACTCGTACTGTAATATAAAGCAATTTTTTTTTAATATTGTTTCAGGCTTTGGTTGGTGCGCTTTGCAAATCGATATCAGGAGAGTAGCACGTCGAATTGATGGTGACAACTTCAGTAAGTTCTCTCTATTTCATTTATTAAAAATAGGCGAACCTAACGTCCCATCGGACACACAAATACCTGAAGCGGCACTGAATGTTCCATTTTATATGTTAGATCCATTACTGCTTTATATAATGAGACCATATCCTGAACGAATTTTAAATAAACCAAGACGTGTTTTCAACTCTGATTTGTCCAGAGCACGAAGAAATGTTGAGTGGACTTTGGGATTATGTATAATAAACTGCGTGTACAAAACGAGAAAGATAAATCTACCTCTGTAACAGCTTGTGGAGGCCTATAGTGTTATGAGAAGTCGAGACTCCCACATTTTCTAAATAATCGACTCACAGACTGCGGTGAAGTCAGCCTTACTCGCCGGCCGCACTTTACACACTGGAGGATACTTGGTACTCTTTTCTGTTAGAGGTTGAGTCGACCTCAGGGCCATAGTTACTTAATATTTCATAATTAGAAATTGTGGTGATATATTCTTTTACTTTGTGATTTCTAGCTTTGTAATTCCCACTCCTCTACAGCATTGCTAGGAAATAGTTATATTTTCGTATATGTGTTAATCTAGATCCTTATATTTTCTGCGTCCTTCTAGAAATCTTCAAGAGCGTAACGGAGCTCAAGACCAACGGACTTATACAGTAAATACATTAAACCTTTCTAATCTAGAAGCTACTCTTCTTGTCACAAAATACCGCTTACCATAGCCATTCTTATATATTCAAACAGAGTTGTTTTAAGTTTGTTTTCACTAGTCGTTTCCCGGTAATGTATCTTAATGATGTAGACTCTTAAACTGCATCGACTAAGTCCTGTCTTCACAGACTCCCGTACAACTGACTAAAGTCAAAGTTACTTTACGACTAGAGGTTTACTGCCATTCAGTTCGTCTTGTCGCCAAGCCCCTTGAAGCTCACGGCCAGATATTTTTTTAGACTGAACCCTTGTGGTCATAGTCCTTATGTAACATCCTCTCTGACGAGAAGATGGGTTGTTTGTCTTTTATGAATATATGTTGCTCTTATCAAGTATACGTATTTCGCATATAGCATGTTATAAAAATTCTTCCTTTTTGCACTACATACAAGCCCTCTGTCAATACAGGTTTTGCAAAGCAGATCATGCCTATTTTAAGTATCTTATGCTACAACAGCAGCTTAGTCACTTTAATGGTCTTAAGCTTCACCACCGCCATCGCCTGTCCAATACTATGAACATATTCATTCTCATGATTTTATATGGTTTCTGATTGCCTCGCCGTCGTTGCCTAGTAACCGACGTTACCAACTAACGATTCTAAAGGCTACTGTTTTTTTGGGAACAACTTCTTCTGTGATACTGAGGCACGCTTTGAACCCGCAATATTTCCCTTCACGTCTGCAGGAGAATTAATGTAGGAACATATACGAGCATATTTCCTTTGTGTACTGTAGTGTTGTAAAAAGTAGTTTCATGATTTGACTGAGGATGTAAATTATAAATGCTTCAAAACAAAATTACAGGGAAAATATTTGCTCTTATCAAGTATAAAATGAGAAAATCTGGGACATTAAACGACGAGGAACTTTGCATGATAGCGAAATGTATGCTGAGATAAGCTGGGTTGTGGCAATTATGAGGGAGACAAGATATTCATATAGATTTCTTATAAAGAAACCTACTTAGAAACAGCTACTTGAATGATCCAAAGCTACATGCGAGGGAAGCTGAAGTGGACGTCAGAGAATTACGTTGTGAGGTTGGGAGATAATGGAACCTCGTCAGGATCATCTTCAATGGCGGGCTATGATGTGGAAGATGCTGAGCCATAGAGTTGATTGAATTGTACTGCAATAAATAGACTGACTATGTAGACTAAAATAAACATCTGTTATAATATTTTCAGGCGATGCTTATTACTGAAACGCAGAATGAAAGAGATGACCCTCTCTTTCTCTAATTGCTGAATATGACACCGTGACAGAAGTGTCTTGAAGGCAGCAGAGAGTGAAGACATTGTTATCTAGTTACATAAGCAAAGTCACGCATTTGTACGGATCTAGGGGACACTCAGTTCACAGCTGTGACTACAAGACAATGGAGTTCTCCGGGTTTTCCTTCTGTGTGTCCTTTATGCTGATTGCTTTCTCCGCTGTAGGTAAGTTCACTGTTTATTGAATTAACGATACATATTGAAAGGTTGCTCAGTACCTCTGAGGAAATTTGTGCAGCATGTATGTAAAGTAAGTGTTTGAGTGTCGTGAGAATGTAAGCTGAAATGTAAGCATCTGGGAGCAAACAATGTTCATCACGGCTACTACTGTAGCCCACAGCTGTCCTAACCGCTCCAGGTCTTCTGAAACTCTCAGTTCGACATTCGTTAAGATGACGCTGAAATCCGACAAGTCTCAAAATTTCAACAACTTTAAAATTAAAATAGATCGCTGCGATGGTTTCTGATCATCAAAACAAATACTCATTTGGTAACTCAGGTTCTTGTCTGAGAATTTTGAATTTAATCAAAATACGTGTATATTTGTGGTGGAAAGGCGTGCCGTGAGGGGACTAAAGACACTTCTATACATCAAAACTTATTTAAGTGAACTCTGGTTTCCTGTTATTCCATAATCTTCTCCCCGGCTTTCCAAATGCCCAGATTCCGAGAACCCTCCCCACCTACCACCCTCAGGTTGTTTATACGTGGAGTTGGATATTCTGTCTGAACCTTCAAACCCAGCCGCTACAGCTTAATAATATCACCACGAGGAACTGTATACATGCACAACATCAAATTTGAATATCCAACTCCACCTACAAACAGCCTGAGAGTGAAACCCAGAATAACGAGCATAACATTCATACGATAATAGGAAGGTCAAAAACACCTCCAAGATTCTGAAGAAAGATCCTAGTGCGCAGTTACCCCACATCAGAACTGCCACTACCACAGTGGAACAACCAAACAACACATATACGGACACAAAGTCTTCAGTAAAACTTATATTGGTTATAAATATTTTAATGACCATTTTAATTGTAATTTTAATTTTAATTTTAATTTTATCCTTTTAATGTCAAGTTTTAGTGTCAAATTCTGAACTATATTTGAACCACATTTAAATTAAAATGTATTTGTTAGTATAAAGTTTCATACAAACACAACATGAGTCCATATTGATTAATAACGCAATTCAACAACTAGTGCCAGTATTCGTGTACGCCTGAAGATGACCCAAGAAAAGAGTCGAAACCTGTAGCGTTACCACCAAGAGCTAATAAGAACAAATGTTTACACAATAATGTCTATTCTATCTCTTTCAGAATTATTGTTGTGTATTGGGGGCACGCGGTAGCGTAGTTGGTTGAGGTACTATGCTACAAGCCGGAAGGTGGCGAGTTCGAGTTCTGATATGGTGTTTTTCTTTCAATTGACCTAAAACTTCCAGCCGCACTGTTCCCCTGCGGTCGACTCAGCCTCTAACAGAAATGAGTATCGGGAATCTTTCTGGGGGTGGGGGGGGGTGAAGAGCGACCGCCGCGTAAGGCTGACAACCTTACCGCCATCTGTGAGCCGATTGTCTAGATAATGTGGGACCCTCAACCTCTCACAATCCTATGGGCCTCCACGGCCTGTTACAGGGATAGCTTTACCTTTCTTTTTAAACAGTCCCAATATATACGAGTATCTTTCACTAGCTATTGAAGACAGCTCAATCCTTCGCCATTTTTTTGCATGAATATTCCTTCTCAAACAAAACTTGGAAAAAAAGGAAGGTCCAAAATCACATAAACAAAAAGTAGTAAGTATCAGGCAACAGGAATAACTTCCATTGTTCCAGATAATACGGTTTCGATATTTTAAAGGCGATTTCACCCTGGTTTTCAATTAAACTTTCGAAACACTAAAAGTTTCCGATGAAACAGCATTCCTTTCAATCCAGATTGCATTTGAGACAGGCCCATTCTACGTATTTTAGTATAAGAGTTCATTACTAAAGGCTGCTATTGGAACTGGCAAAGAAAGGCCATAGTGTGCTTTTAAAGCAGGTAAGGAATTCTCTGATTTAAAAAAGCTTGAGAAAAATGCTGTAGGTGTGAGTTGGTTTGTTTGTACGTTACCTAGAGACTATGCAGCATCTGGGATAATTAGAGCGTATGTGGTTTGTGCTGAGATGTCTGATGGTGGGCAGGAAAGGATATGGAAGGAAAAGGAAATGGGTTATTTTAAACTTTCCAACACTCAGAGTGGTTGCACGCCACGCCAGTGATTTCCAAATTTCATATAATGGCCCCCACTTAGCTTGGCAAAGATTTCATGGCGTCCCCTTATTAGGATCAAAAATTGTGTGACAATGGTACGTTGGTACAAATATTATACAGAGATATTCGATCTTCGGACTAAGGGACCCAACAGAAAAGGTGTTTTCCCTCACCTGAGGACGGAAACAGATCCAGTTTCCGAAACGTCGTGCTTTTCTTAGTTATCTTAAAACCAGGACAATGGATAAAGTCCAAAAACCCAATATCTCTGTGTGTTATACACCATCGTCAGAATCCTATAGTAACTATAAATATTATGTTTCTGGACATTAACCATGATCCTGTTTTTATCTAAAAGCAGGGTGATGAAACATAATATTTGTCCCCTTACTACATTTCTGTGTTTATATATATAAAGAACAGCTTTTACAGTTTTTCATTATTAAAATCAACATTTTTAGATAAACATATTTTAGATTTAATTCATCTAAAATATTTATAACAATTTTACAGATGTTACTGAACTAATTCTCGAGTCCCAGTAGGGTCAAGAATTTTCTTTTTCCCACGTCGTCCAGACCGACCCTGGGGCCCACCCAACCTCCTATCCAGTGGGTACCGGGGGTTCAGCGGCAGGGCCGTAAAGCTGACCACTCACCTCAAGCTAATGCCGAGGTCAAGAAAATTTGGGTCTATACATCCAGCCCCCCATACGCCTTCATGGCGTAGTGCTTAATTAGTTAAGCACAGGGGCAACTTTACTTTTTTTACATTTTACTGAACTAATTCACTTCTCTAATTAATGGTAAACCACTTTCCGGTCACTTAAAAACAATTTAAATGCAGGTGAGAACGACTAATTGTAGAGCTCGGGACTCGTAGAAATGTTCCTTCCACTTAAATATTTTAAATTTATAGTGGAATTCCACAGATAACAGAGGATATGAAGAGTCTGGGGTTATCCTTGTCTGTCTACTTATCTAAGTAGTTGTGTTTGGTTCTGCATTAGCAAGAGTTTTAATGTAAAAAAGTTTTGATGCATTTTGTTCACTTTTACTCAGCGTCACTAAGGAATGGTAGATTTTCGTGCCGTAGTAAAATAATATACACTACCAGTTTATTTTTCAAGAACGTAATTGCTGTTGTTGGAGATGGGCTGCTGCATTAGTAATTAAACGGGGCATAATTAAGAAGCAGAAACATTTTTATTGCTGCCCAGTAATGGGATATGTTGCAAGAGGTCTTAGGCCTCAAGTTACTCAAGACTATATCTGTAACAGTCTTGCAACAGAACAGCACAGTAGGAAAATTTTATGGAAATTATCTTTTTTTTAGGAGCTTTCTTCCATAATAGAGACAGAGCTCGTGAAGTGTCTTCAGAACACAGAAAGATATGAATAGTTTACTCGATAAAATTTAACCAGGCATATAACGCCAATATCCTTAGTGGGGCCTAATTACCCACCTATTCACTTACTTAACTAAGTGGGAGAATGACTGCCTAACGAAATGAATCAAAACCTGACGAATTGACTGCCTGCGCGAGTGACTTACTTGTGACTTATAGAATGATTGTCTAAGAGAACGACTGACAGAGCAAGTGAGCATCTAATGGAACGACCACCTTACAGACTTGTTGATAGAATGACTATTTGACTCACTGCATATATACTTAAGTGATCGATTAACTAACTAGCTCACTTATGGACAGAGAGACTGACTAATTAACTAACTAACCAATAAACACTCTGGTACTAAAACCTGGAGGTTCAGCACAGTTAATCTAACATAATATAATGCAATCTAAGCAAGCTCTGCCCGAATGAGCAGGTGGATGCGGGGTGAATGAGCAGTGACCTGATGCGATAAACCTAACCTAACCTAACCTAACCTAACCTAACCTAACCTAACCTAACCTTACCTAACTTCACTTCACATAAACTATCCTAGTACAATCTAGCCAAGTTCAGAAAAAGAAAATCCCAGGATTATGAGCAGGTTACAGCCGGTTGCAGAGATGGAAGAGAGATGGTCTAGTGAGCCAAATGAATTTAATATAAAACAATCTGACTAACTCTCTTCGAAAGTTCAGGTGGTTACTGAGTGGTGTGATGCGACAGCCTAGTCTAACCTAACAGAACCTAACTTATCTGAAACTGGCAAGAATGAAATTCCTCTGAAAACCTTACATTCATTTTTTTCCTCCGATTTATAAATAGGTAGCCCTGAAATAGGATTCATCATCAGATCTGTAACTTCTCCCTCTTCCAAACTGAGACTACGTTTTTAATCTATGAACGCAACCTCTCATCTTGCTTAAAGCGAAATCATATGGGACAAATTTGTCGATACACGGTTATAATGCCTTTACTACCGCTGCAGACTGATATTCCTACATAGAATACACTGATAACTGTAACATTTTGTGTTGTAGCCAAGGCAATTCAAGTGAGTCCGAAGGTGGACTTCGGTGACACCTCTCCTGGGATCAACCCAGATGACATCAAGGTCTTCATAGAGAAAGAAAAAACCAGTGTCAATCCCGGAGTGGTGAAAGCTGTCCTGGAAGTGAAAGTGGGAGAGAGTATCGTCACCGATAAGTATCCAGCCAAGTCTGATAAGAAAGAACATAAAAATACTACGAAAACAAATATTCTAATATGTAGCTTGGAAGGTGATTGCAAACTTCATGAATTCAATACAGATTTAAGTGAAGATGATGAAAAGGAAGGTGACACAAAGGAACTCAAACCAATCATTGTAACAGATTTTGATGAAGATCCTTTGAAAGGTAATAATGACGATGATGACCATAATGATGGTAAGAAAAATCCTAATATTCCTGTGATTGTGGGATACAGAGGTGCCGTTAAGGACGATGGTTTCTATTACACAGGGCACAGCAACGGACAAGGAATCGACAGACTTCCAACGTATTATGGAACGACGTTAAGGCCAGGGTTTCACCAGCCCTACCCAGGTCCAAACATTTACGGAGAGGTGCCACGTCCACCTCCGCCCCCGCGTCCGGGCTTCAATTACGGTTCGTATCACCCTACTTATCCGCATCACGATTTGCGCTGTGTTTACCGTCACTATGAGGGACAACGTTACCCGATCTCTGATATCCCCGGTTACACAGGAGTCAGACCGTACGGCCACACTTCTTTTCCAGGTTATGGTCCCAGAACACCGTCTCCGTATGGACACTTACATCCTACTAGGAAACCGGGCAGTTTCCACGCCATAATCACGCCGCTTGGAAGAGGGAACGGTGTCGGTGGCTTGGACACACCGACGGTACGAGGAATTGTTGCTGTCCATGGGAAAGTGGACTTTGATGAAGATGACATAAATGTTGGGGTGATCGGTCCCTTGTACCCCAGCTCCGGAAATGGCAACGTTAAAGTTGACGGGAAGCTTGGGGAACCGCTACACAAATCCGATCCATAACACAATAAATATATCATTGATCAGTACATAAATACATTTGTGTACACAGACACGTATGGAGGGGGAAGCCTTGATTCGGACGTGTGGAATTCATGCAAAGTTTGACGTTTTCATGGCGATGAAGATTTATATTAGTTTTCAGAGTTATAATGTCGGATGGTGTGTTAACTGCATACCAACGTTTCGGAGGAAGATACTGTCGGCATGTTCACGGCATATCTTCTACAAAGAAGTTGTAATCAATATATTCCTCTGAAACGTTGATGCTTGCCGGATCTAATCCTTTGAAAACACGCACAACTATAATAGTCTGTGCTGTGAATGTTACTACATTATCCTCAACTGAACACATGAATTAAATTCAGAGTAATTATAAACTTGCTCAAGAACTTCAAATGTATTTTTAGTAAGATCTGTGGTTTTCACGGCATTCTTCAGATTTTTAGTAGATTTTATTAAAACCGTAAGTGTGAGCCAATATGTCCGAAGTTGGATGTTCATCTGTTGACTAAGGCAACCTGACCTACGTCCAGCCCTCAACACACACAGGACTTCTCGTTATAGGGCTTCGTGGAGGATGCGCGTCCCTAGCAGCACTGAAGGGCTAGAGATGCGAACACACAAGCCACGCAGGACGTGGACGAGGGCACTTGAACAGAACTGACCTACCATGAGGACATCGGCAGTGTCACAGAGACTCACGCAGAACAATCTCAGTAGTGTGGATCCTGTTGTGTGTTATGAATACGGTGTATAAAAGTACACAGAATTATGCAGTCTACACAACAATATTCTGTATTTAAAAACAGAGCAGTCACTATTGTATCAACAGCTTTATTTTGTTTTTGCAAACGCAACATGTTTCGACCCTTATACCGGGTCATCATCAGGAGTATAATTCTCCAGTTTCAATTTCAAGACACAATAAGGTTTCCCATTTGAAGAATTAGATGAAAATTAATTGCATTTCAATAACTTAAACTGGAGCATTGTACGCCTGATGATGACCGGTATAAGAGTCGAAACATGTTGCGTCAATAAAAGGAAATGTTGATGCAGTGGTGTCTTCTTTGTTCTTTAAATACAGAATATTGTTGTGTGGACAGCATACCTTATATACGTTTGTATACCTTACTCACATAGAACACACTATGGAACATAACTACGTTATTTTAGTGCGTACTTCGCAGCTTTCACTTCAACAGAATCAAAATTAAATTTAGTTATAAAAGATAAAAGCCGGTCCCGGTAGCCAAGCAGTCTGAGGCATGAACTGTCTTCGCTTGCTTGAAAGCCGGGATCGTGGTTTCGAATCCCACACAGGGCATGGATATTTTGTATGTGTTTATTCTATGTCTTGTTGTTCTGTGTTTAGGTAGAGGCCTTGTGACGAGCTGATCACTCGTCCAAGGAGTCCTACCGTCTGTAAACTGATCAAAATGCAAATAACAACCTCGACACCTTAAGGTATAGGAGAAACGGATTAAGTATAAAAGATAAAATCCCTGTGCTTAATTAAGCATTATGGGTTGAAGAAGTATGGGAGAGCGGATGTATAGCTCCACTTTTATTGGCCTCAGCATTAGTTGGAGATGAGTGACCAGTTTCACGCCCCTGCCGCTTTACCCCCGAAAACTTTTGAATGGGATGCTGCGTGGGCCCCAGGGTCGGTCTGGACGCTTTGTAGAATAGATAAATCTTGTACTTCAGAAAATCGAACCTGGGCCGTCCAGCCCATAGCCCGTCGCTATACCGACTACATACATAAGAAGGCCGAAATTTAAAATTACCCCTTCGATAAGGAATTAACAAGGAACCTGATGTCATGTTGCATACGCACACGCCTTCAGAACTCAGTTCTCTGTATGCTTACTGCAGGGTTATGCTTGTAAGCACTGGACAATTGGGAGATGGTTCCCTCCGGATTGTACCCATGTTTCATTTTCAAAATTACTTAAATAAATTTCGATCAAACCTGGTAAAGGAAGTCTGTACAAAACTTGCCTGACGTTTCTAATTTTGGCCCATACCGGTTCAATATAATTCCTACCTCACATGAAGCTCAAACCATACTGCATGTATTTCCTCAAAGAGGAGTATTTTTCAGCAAGAATTAAAGAGAGACTGAAATATATGAGTACATTTATTTTAAACGTTTTTCGATGTGATGTTTAATCAGCGAAATTGAGGTGAATATTACGATTCTGTGTACTGAATGCTTTCCACGACGTAAAATTACACAAGCTTTAAGAGATATGTAGGCTTATTTGGAACAAATGGTCATAAATGCTGCTCACTTAGGCAAAGTGGCAAAGAATGCTTTGATAATTTTACGTAGGCTTAATCAAAACACCATTCCACAGCTCCATATAAATCACAACTGTTGCTTAAGAAAATATTCAATTAAATTATGAGTAGGGTGAAATATTGGCTTCAAGGTTTAAAGCGAATTCAAATTGGAATTGTAGTGATGACAATCTGGAGCAGAGTCATTCTTGCAAAAGGTAACAATCGCTCTGGTAACCACAAAATTACCAGCATATTCACACCTTTGCCTTCTGTTATTTCTGAACTTCTAAGGGACTTGAGGTGCCATCTGTTAGAGGATTCACACAACTAGCAAAGCATTATCTATACTGGCGTAGTTGTCTACACTGCACCTTCACATTTCTACGGCAATATCTCAAACTAAATTCAATATTACATTCAACCAGACCAACCAGTCCAGAAGGTGAACATGTTCGAGAAATACAGGCCTGTAAAATAGAACTCCGTTTTCCAACTTAAATTCCAACTAACTCCCGAGGACTTCTAAGGCTAATTCATGTGTAAGATAATGGTAAGTTGTCCCTGTGCTGAACTAATTAAGCACTAGGCCAAGAAGGCGTATGGGGGAGTGGATGTATAGCTCCACTTTTATTGACCTCAGCATTAGTTGGAGGTGAGTGGGTCAGCTTCACGCCCCAGACGTTTTGCCACCCGGGGAAAAGCCCCAGGTACCCATTGGATAGGAGGTTAGGTAGATCCCAGAGCCGGTCTGGACGACTTGGAGAAAATTCTTGACCATTTTGAGATTCAGAACTCTGACCCCTTGGTCGTCCAGCAAGTAGACAGTCGCTATACCGACTGTGCTATCCCGGCTCCTCCTAATTCATCTGTAGTTAGTCAGGTTCTCCGTATTTCATGGAACCGAAAATTTCGTTATGGTTTCGCAAGACTCCACCATTGGTCTCTAATCTGAGCCAAATGAACCCAACCCTCACTCTACTAATCTATTTCTGTAAGATATATTTTAATATTAACCCCATCTATGCCAATATCTTCCAAGTGATCTCTTTCAATCAAGCAGGTAACCTGACTGAAACTTTGTACCTACATCTTTTCTCTTCCGTGCTTGCTACATGACCCGCCGACACCATTTTCCAATATCGGACGTAGTACAGATTATGAAGCACCCCATGCTGCAGTTCCCCCTAACAAGCAAAATTACAGCTCTGTAAGTTTCATCTTTATGTTTTCACATGTCAGCCGTGAAGATGATTTTTGTAGACTCTCTTTATAATCTTCTAACACACCTTCTGTCTGTTTTCCCCGGGTATTTACGTTTTCCCCAGTAAATTAACAATTTCAGTATAGACCAGAAACTAACATTCCACATTCAGTTTCAATGTTTAGTGGTTTTCTTGGACCTTTGTAATGACGTGCAGTAAAACAAAGCTGATAAGCAGTGATAAAAATAAACTCTTTGTTACCGGCCACAATATATAGCAAGACAAGAATTAATTTACTTGTAAGGAGAACATTATTCTCATTTAGGAACCTTGATGAACAACTACGGAAGTTGTCACCTCTTGCTAGGAACCTTGGTGGCTCTGCTGATACAAGCTCTCACTGCAGGTATAATGGACAAGTCTGGTGAAGAGCATTTGTGTCTGCTTGACACTGCTTCACGTGCATCCTATCCGGTGTGTTGGTAGCAAACTGTGAGATTCCATCCGGTATGCCTAGAAAATTAACTGTAAAATCGGAGCGAGATCTATAGAAACAAAAAATAGAATCTTCCAATACGATCAGCTGGTTTATTTAGTGGTACCTGCCCATTAGAGGAGCCACACTTCAATCTCTGCATCACAGTACTGCTTCCCCTAAACTAGGTCCTCTTACCTCCTTGTGTCCAGCTCCTCAACCCCCCCCCCCNGGCGCAACAACCACAGCATGCTAGAAACGACATGATATAAGGCTCCAACATGGCACCAAGCTCTACAGTTATCTGTAGTAAGGTATTGCTTGGGGGCAGAGGATTTCAGTAAATTGCTGATATACTGTCCCTTCATCCCGTTTTATTCCCATATTTATCGAGTACCTGACGAACGTAGACTATCTTACCAAAACTGATCTGAACATGCATGTCGTCTTTTGTTCCTTAAGACTTGATCGGAGTGAGAGTGTCTTTCCCCTAGGCAGAACTGCAATTGTGTTTATTATTGCTGTGATGTGGAAACATTGTACTTCTGCCAGCTAGATTTTTGCATGCGGCAAGGATTTCTAGTCCAGCTCAGGTGTAATTAATCTGTTAATTCAAACACTTGTTCTAAACGTTCGATTTGAAATACTTACTCTACCTGCTTTGAACAGTCCCGTAACAAAATTTTCATACGGTATTTAATGATCAGATCGCATACATGCTCTGGTTCATCACACAAATGTTATCATTTTTATGAATATATTCATATTTCAGAATCCCTATTATTATATGCGGCATCATATCTCTAACATATTCATATTTCTTAATTGTCGGTAGGATTTCCTTAGGTACGAAACATTCTGCCTCTAATTCATAATTTTCGTTCTCATTTAAATTTCCACAGACTCATGAGTTAATTTTCAATTAACTGACATCTTTTCCGTGGTGTAAAATCCTTCATGATAGTTAAATGTTTTCGTAACAACAATCTGCCGAAGGAATGATTTATGGCCTTCTTAAGAGGGTCCTTTAGATGTCTTGCTGCGCCTTGAATTGGGGCTCATATTCAGCACTTTTTCTATTTTTTGCAAAGAATTGCCTCTTGTCAGGAACATATTGCGCTAAAGTTTAAATTTTGTTAATTATCTTCAATCTGTAGGAACCATTCCAGCTGCTGAGAATGTATCATGAGGTCCCGAATGATACCCTGATAAGTTCTAACAAGCATTCTAGTTTCAGAAGAACAGGATCCAAATTCGTTAGTCACAAACTTTAAAAATTCATTGCCGTGTCATGTGCGCGAAGAAGTGGATTCTTCTATAGAAACGATGCCAACGTTTTTAGACTCGATAATTTATTCTGTTTATGATTTTTCTGCAGAGAACGTACCGGCAGTGGTATCTGAAAGCTTCTGAATGTTTATATCCTTATTTACATTCTCATGATTTTAGAGTGACTATAGATAGGTTTTGGAACATACGATTCGTATAATGTATCCCGGATGTATTTATCGGCA